CAGGCTCCTATTGCATGTTATATTATAAAAGTAAAATGTAGCGGCATGTCTCGCGAAACAGGAAAACAAAAAAGTAAATAGGTATATCGTTAGAAGACCCTGATGGTTTCCAGCAAAGATTTTGTTGCCCTTTATTCTATTGTTGTTTGTCGTCAGTTATTCAGCACATAATTCTGTATTAGTTATCAGCGTTAATAATTATTTGTATTAGTTGGTGTAGGTTATGCCGTGAAATCGTACAGTCAAATAAAATGATTGTATATATTGACGAAACTTCATACATGTTTCGTATACCGTTGCTACTTGTTGGAACAATAATTACAATGAAGGATTAGTTAGACCCGTTTCAAAAGAGCAAGGATTAATTATTGTTCATGCTGGCAGCAAGAAGAGCTTCATTCCCAACACTCAATTAATATAACTAGAACTTAATGTAGATTTTCTTAATCCATCGGTAATGTAATATATAAGAATTTTACCTGTATTTAGTGACACTGTCGAAGCATATAAATATCATTAGAACAATTTTGAAAATAATTGTTTTTGGTATATAATATTATTTACATTTGTTTGTATCTATTTTTCAAAACAGACTTCCACTTGTATCATTTATTCTCTAATACAAACTATTCCACTTCCTCCATCTAGTGCGAAACTCGAGAAATTAACAGTATTGATTAGTTTTGGCTCCTAGGTGGTTGTAAAGTTTAGTCACTGAACGTTAGATGGCGCCAACCACAGTTTTCTTCAAATTTAATGTTATTACGCTATTTATTTTGTTCAGTATTTTGAATATTATGGGAATTAGAGCGAGCATGATGGATGATGTTATATGATTGAGCAGTGGCGTCGATTTTTATGAAATATCCATGATTGATTAGGTGAGGCACATAAATATTTTTATATATACTTTAAAAAAGTTTTTAGTAAAAATATTAATCGAATGTATTTATTTCACAAACAAAATAACCACATTTTACATAAAGGTAATTTTACAAATAAGTATAGCACTTTTTAAGTTACAAATTTATAAATTAATACAAAATTGGGATTTTTTAGAATTATTTCTGTCAACTCTTTATGTATTTTAATATTCACACTCTCAACATTAACAGGTTAAGTGTCGCGTATACCCAATTGGGTGCAGATGAGTACTTCTTGCTGGTGCCAAGACAAAATCTTGTGAACTACTTAGGAGGGCCAGAGCTATATTTTCTTTTTTATTATCACAGAACAGTTTTACAAGTACCGTTCCGTATCTCGTGGGACAAGCAAGATTTCAGTACATTAAAACTTGGACAAAAAATATTATTTATTTATTATAATTATGAACATTTTTAAATCACTCAAAATATAAAAATGGTTAATTTGAGCATGTATTAAAAAAGCGCTGGTTTTCTTATATTTACTTTTAAATTTTTATTTCTCTGCTCCTGTTCTACCATAAACAACTCTTTCAATTTTATATGATTAACCACTTTAATCACACAGCTATTAAGCTTTATATCATACTTCAGTATGTGATTTTCCTAGGATATATTGTTTAAAATTTAGTCTGCCAGTAAAAGGTTTCATTCACTCATCAATTATTTACTAACTTTTCGCCAGGTGTTTTGGTATGTTAAAAATGTTCTTGTATCATAATTTGTAACCATATATAATGTAAAACAACTGTAAATTTATATCATTTAAAGGGTTTTGACACATATATTTTGGTGGCTCATAGCATGTATACCTCGTTTACACTGATGACGGATTTAACAATCCGAAAACGTTTTGTAATATAATTGTGATAGCCCGTTTGGGCATTTTATTATATACCTTTTATAAAGGATTTGAAATGAATTTTTTGTGATATATGTTATACAGCCAGCTACAGGAACTTAGTTTCCTAGTGGATTTTTTCTAGTATCTATTACCTTTATTACTTCTAGGGAATGAACCAATCGTGTATTTGTACACTATGTCTCATAGTTTTGAAGAAGTGTCCGATATCACGAATTCATCAACTACTTTTTTCGGTTTGGTAATTTGACATTTTTGTGACATTGTTAAATGTATTTTCTTCCGTCTTTTTCCATGTTTCTCCATTTAAATCTTGCCTTTAGTTTCTTTATTAGCCTATTATTTCCTACATATGATATGTTATGTTATGATAATGATCCATTATCTTAAGTTCTTCTTTGTCCTCCTCTATTGTTTCTGGTACTGCGCATATGTATATTTCCATATTTTTCAATAATTTGTTTCCTTTTTTTAGAAATTTATCAATTATGCACAATTTAAAAATAATATCATTTACGTATATCTTCACTTTACGTACTGCATTCTCTACCTTCATCCAATCAAGCTGTGCCAACATTTGACTTAAATCAAAGTGATTGAATCCTGTGGCCATGCTCTTACTACACTGGATTTTGTTTTTTATCCGAATGCTCAGTCTTGGTGAGATTCGGTCCACTCCAAAAAACAAAATTGGTAGTCTATGCGCCTTTAAATTATTTAGTACCTTTTTTACTGGTTGCTTCTGGACTTCCGGCTGTAATGTACGTTTACTTTTTGTATCTTTGTGTCTTGTTTCTTTCATTTTTTTTTATTGAGCTTGGGCAATAGCTAGTATATGCGTGTTATCTATAAGTCCTTTAGTTGATGCAATGATTCTCGAAAGACTGTCCGCCTCATTATTTTCCTATGTTATATATTCTATTTTAAAGTCAAATTCTTCTAGATCTAGTCTGATCCTCGTAAGTTTTCAGGTAGGTTCCTCAATTGAAAATAGGTGTGTTAAGGGTTTATGATCACTTTTTACTAAAGTGCTTCATATAAATAACATTTGAAATTGTTAATTTCTCAATGAATTGCTAGTAATTTCTTGATGATTATAGGTTTATTACATTCTCCTTTACTAAAACTTTTTGATGCGTATGCTTTCGGTAGGTCTATTCCGTTATAGTTTTGACTTAAAATTGCTAAACAACTCTCGTTAAATGCGTCTGTTGTCAAAATAAATTTTTTACTGAAATCCGAATATTTTAAGATCGGTGGTTTCATCAGAGATGATTTGAGCTTAATGAATGATTCTTCACATTCCTTAGACCAAAAAAATTCTACTTCTTTCCTCGATATTATGTTTAGTGGTATGCATATTTTAGCAAAATTTTAAATAAAACGTCTATAGTAGTTACAAAATGCTACGCATCTCTTTGTGTCTGTTGCTGTCTTATGTTTTAATATCAGAAAAGCATCTTAATGATGCTTTTCTGATATTCCTATTACTACTATATTGTCCATGTAAAGAAATGCTTTTTTCAGGGTTAAACCTGAAAAAGCTATTGATATTATTCTTAAACAGCTATTCAGGCATACGTTTAATCCAAAAGGTAAACTGGTAAATTAAACTGCTATACGATATGTATTTCCTCGAAGATTTTTTTGGTGAAAACCTGACATTAGGTCTATAACTTAAAACCATTTTGCTCTGCTTAGTTGATCTAGTATTGAGTTTATTCTTGGCAATGGGAACTTGTTCTGTGACTATTTTCTTGTTCAGTTGTCTAAAATCTATGCATAATCTTCATGCTTTATTTTCATCTATAGCCTTTTTTGGTACGAGCACTACCGGGCTATTACATTGTGATTTAGATCAGGGGTGTCCAACTTGCAATGCCTCAAGGGCCAAAACTTAAACTTTTGATGTTGTCGCGGGACATATAATAATTTTGTTTCAAGTAATAACAAAATAAAGTGAGGTGTAAAAATAATTAAAACAAAAAGTATTATTAATTACTATTTATAACTGGGAATAAGCCACAATTAAAGATAAAAATACGTTTATTGACGTTTCAATTTCCAATTCGGAAATCGTTCTCAAAATACAAACAGTAAATTAAACAAATTTTGTTTTTTGTTACATAGTGAAAAAATTCCTCTAATAATTTAATTTTATCTGACTCATTTATATTGACAATTCAGACATACTTTATGCATTTTAAAGTAGACGACTTTAAAATGATATTGCCAATATTGTTGAGTTGCGCTCCTGGAACGACTTTACTTATAAGATAGTTCATTCGATTACATGAAATCAACTTTAACTTGAGAATATCCGTCAGAAAAAATCATAGCATGTAATTCGTCTTTAAAAAGACAAACACATGACATGATGACAGTAAAATTCTCCCGTTAGTGATTCCATAGTAAATTATGAGGGAAAAACCAGGAAAAAAACCTCGTAATACTATCCCGACATTGTAAGTATTTGTTCGTGAATTTAGTTTACCTTCAACAAACATCAAAATTCTGATTTCATATGTTACATTATTTAAAAAAACATAAATGATGTATCTTTTATATGTTACTGACTTACTAATACTGGTATTTTCTTATTAATAACTTCCTCTTTCAATATTGGTAACCAGATCCTACTACATTCTGCCGAGGAATTTGCGACACAATTGGCCTCGTTTAGCATAATTAGAGCCGCTTCTTTGATTTTTCTTTTTTTTACCATCCGTTTCTTTTAGTACTATATTTGAATTATTCCATTGAACCCTATGTTCATTATCCCATGTATTATTTCTGTTATTGCTCATAAACTACATTTTTTTATAAACGAAAAATTTATTAATAACACTTTTCAATAATCAAGACAAACATTGCAAAAGCAACGAAAAAGATGTATCCAATTAGTGTGAGGACTGTGGTCGATCGGCTTCATCCACCAATGAAGAAATGTCCACTTCCAGTTCAGTTGTAGACACTCTCATAAGATGACGTAAGGAAGAATCGGTACGGTTGCTTCTGTTTTTATTTTTTATGTATTTCATGGAGGAAAAGGCACTTTCACATATATATGTGCTTCTGAACGTTGAAGTCATTTTCAGTCCAAAATCTCCCAAAGTCCAAATCAGGTTTGGGAATTTCTCCTTTGACAGTAATTCTAAAAATTCAGGTCCCTTTTCTTGTCTGGTGGTTAGGAACATGTCTGCTTGAAGATCACATTATGGTAGAAGATTGCTGGGTGAGCAAGTAGATTTTTCTACTTGCTCACCCATAGCAACAATCCTTCTTTGTATGGTTTGATGTGAAAGTGGCACTGATTCAAATTTCTCCGCCATTTTAGAATCACCGAAAGCTTTGGCCATTTCAACAGCACATTTTTTTATCAAATTGCCATCAGTGAAAGGTTTTTTTGCCTTTACCAGCTCAAGCAACTCGGCATAAGATGCATGCAAAGAATGCGTTTGAGAGTGTAATATTTTACTGAACATACCAGTTTGCTGTTTAGGTTTTTTCTTCAAATCTGCAACTAGGGCACGCCGACTTTCATTTGTGTACGTAGTACACATACTTATTTTCATGCATTGTTGTGTAATGTCTTCTCGCATTATATTCTTTAGGCACTGAAACGACATTCATGCACACTAAGCTCTGTAACTTTCCATTATTGTTAGCAATTAAGTAATCACTCTCTCAACTTTCTTTGTAAATTCTGTTATCACTATCAATTTTCCGTTTTACTAGTTTTACACTCATTATTGTATAAGAGGAATCAAGACAAAGAATTAATCAAGTTCACTGTTCACTAGCAACATAATAGATTAGCCGACTAGCCTACGTGTCAGTAGCACACTGGCACGATGGCGGCTGGCGACGGATGGTAAGCAGTGGGAGGCGTGGCCTGCGTGATCTGTGATGCGCAGTAATCAGTGCAGTTCTCATAGTGGTGGAGGACGATTGTGTTCGTTACACGTCCACGAAGCGGCACGTGGTACAGTACTTGTGATGTAATTCTATAATAATTTTTTTCACAGTGGCAGCATTTATAGAAAATATATGCTTTTCGAAAATCTTACGAGGGTTACAACAAATAGCCTCGCGGGCCGGATGCGGCCCGAGGGATGCCAGTTGACAACCGTGGTTAAGATGGTTCTACAATACCATGGTCTCTCAATTTCTGTACTTGTCTGTTTAACTAGTATTGAGTCTATTCTTGGTAATGGAAATTTGTCTGTGACTATTTTCTTAATAATAATAAATAATAATAAGAATAAATTGTTCAACATGTTTACTCTATAAAAATATAATGTATTGCAGTTACCATAGTCCTTAAATATATCAAAAGTAAACAAATATTATAAGTCATTCAGATATGTATGTGATATTTAAGTTTCTACTCTATACAGAGTTAACATTTAATAACTCTGATAAGAATATCTTTAAAGTGTGACTCATCAGACTAATGAGTCTCTAATCCTCACATCTTTTTGCATTGACTTTTTTGGGCAGGGGAATAAAGGTAAAGCGTAACCACTGTTGAGGATAGCAGCTAATTTAATTTATGAAACTGGCTGCCATCCTCAACAGTGGTTACGCTCTACCTTTATTCCCCCGCCCAAAAAAGTCAATGCAAAATTATGTGAGGATCACAGACTCATTAGCCTGATGAGTCACACTTTAAAGATATTCTTAAAAATACTACATCAAAGATTATACAAAAAATGTGAATGGGGTATCAGTGACTCCCCGTTCGGGTTTAGGCAAGGTTTAGGAACACGAGAAGCAATAGTAGCAACACAGGTGCTGGTCCAAAATTGTTACGATCAGAAGAAGGATGTGTTCCTATGCTTTTTGGATTACCAAAAAGCGTTTGATCGTGTGCAACACCACAAGTTAATGCAGATTCTCAAGAAAGTTGATATAGACCAAAAAGACATAAGATGCATTAAAAACTTGTACTGGCATCAAACGGCACAGTTAAAAATAGACAATTCTATATCCAAACCCATACATATAAGAAGAGGCGTTCGACAGGGATGTATGCTTTCCCCTCTTTTATTTAACATTTATTCGAAAGCCATATTTCAAGAGTCTTTGGAGGATACATAGATGGGAATCAAGGTGAATGGAGTATTGATCAACAACATACGATATGCTGATGATGGTGTCTTAATTTGTGACAACATAGTCAATCTTCAACAACTTGTCACTATAATAGGAGAATACAGTAAGCGAATGGGATTAGAGATTAATACCAAAAAGACCAAATTCATGATCATCTCCAGAAACTTGGATGCACTTAAAAACTCCACCATAACACTGAATACTAAATCCATTGAAAGAGTGAGTAAATTTAAATACCTGGGATCGTGGCTTTTTGAAGACTGGGCATCGGACAGGGAAGTAAAATGTCGCATTGAGCAGGCTCGACAAGCTTTCGTAAAATTCAAGAAGGTACTGAATTGTTCAGAGTTCGATCTTCAACTGAGACTAAGGTTTATTAAGTGCTACGTATGGTCAGTGCTGCTATATGGCGTAGAGGGCTGGACACTCAAAACGAGCGATATAAACAGATTAGAAGCTTTCGAAATGTGGCTTTATCGCCGTATCCTAAAAATACCATGGACAGCGAAAATCACAAATATAGATGTCCTTAAAAGAATAAACCAAGAACGCCAACTCTTCGAAACCATCAAGAAAAGGCAAACGGCGTATCTAGTCACATCATGCGAAATAAAAAATACCAGTTCCTCCAACTTATAATCGATGGTAAATTGCAAGAAATAGAGAATTAATGGAAAATGTGATCGCTAACATCCATTCGTGGATTTGCATCTGAAGAAGAAGAAGATAAGTTTGCAGCTTTCTTCTGAAAAGTCACAAAATTGATGCTCCCATTTTATTACAGAGAAAATGTAATACAAAGCTAATGTAGAAGCTTCGTTTCAAAGTGATAACGTAGAAAAAAAATATTTAAGAGTCAAAATTGTTTTTCTTTATTATGGAATGAATCTTTCGCAAAATTGCAAAAAAGTTCATTTGAAAATATTTTCTATTTATTGGTTAATTATTTGATTTCAACCTGTAGCAAATCTCTGAAAAAGCACCTACTCTTTTATATTAATTAAGATAAATCCTCCGCCTGAAGAGCGGTGTGAAAGAGACGACTCTCTTATCCGCAAATTAAAAGCTACGCCAAATATTTACACCGCAATTTTTCCATCTCTAAAAGGAAACTCTCGCGTATGTGGACGTTCATTAAGGTAACATAGAGCATAGCATAGGCGAGCCGCATAGTAGTAATTTTTCAAGAGTGCATATGACAATAAAAAGCTGACTGCAATTCCACACAGCATACTTTTTCATCATTAAAATTTCAGTCGGCGGCGGATTTTGTGTGTAGACCCGGAAAAGGTCTCGGTAGTGGTTTTAAAAATTAATATGAAACGCTAATACCAACAGCAACAACAACAATAAACGATTCGTTTTTCCAGAAGTATAGGCAACACAAGAACGTTTCTAAGAACAAAATTTTACCGACCGAAAGTCTGAGTTGTTTTTTCAGTGACCTTTATGGTAAAAGCAAATCAAAATATGTAAACTAAATATTGATATAAGGTTGAATGCTCGAGTAAATGAACTTTAAAAATAAGGCTATTATCGAGCACAAGTTTAATTAAATCTTGCCCAAGTACTTTCGCTTAAAATAGCATCTTCAGGGGCATTTCGTCAAATATGAGCAATCCAGCAAGCGTAGAATGTGAAAAACATGAATAATAACTAGACTTCGGCAAATATGCATATTGCATATTTTGCATATTGTGCATATTTTATGCAAATATTTCATATTTTGGCATATTTGTATAAAAGTTTGCATAAAGTGCATAAAAGTTCAGATTTTTATACTGTATTTGAAAATTTTTAAACATACCAATTTATTTCAATTCTTGTATAAAATTTTGTAGTCATTTTAATCAAGAAATGATCTAAGTACGTAATCTCTACAGGTACAAAACATTTACAATTTCAAAGAAGATCAATTTAAGTAGCCCTCATCATTCTTAGAAAGTCTCGGTCACTGAGGCATTCAGTTATTGGATCGCTAAGGGTTTGCTCATTTGCATTTTATGATCTAATCCCCAAATCTATCTACAATTTATTGTATCTTAACAGCAGGTAAACGGCTAATAGTTGTGTTCCTAATTTAGGGATTTTCCAAAATCTCCCAGTTTATTGAATTAGGTACCTAAACATTTCTAATTTGATGCTCAGATTTGTAAATCATTTTTGTTTTGATATTCAAAGCGTAAACACTCGTTGTGCGTAACAAAAAGGAAGATTGTGATTTTATAATGCCTAAAACAACCAGTGCTTCAACTTGGATTAAACCTTATAAAGAGCTGTCTATGGATATGGGAAAAATCTACTGTTCAGTCTGTGGCAAAATTGTAAGTATCTAATATTTTCTATTAAATATCTAATATTTCATACATACAGGGTGTTTCCAAATGACACTTACAACGTTTGACTGTAGATACTTCTCGAAAAATTGAACAAAACGATATAGTTAATGAGGGGTCAAACTTATTTACTTTTCGAGATACAGGGTGTTAAAATTAAAAAAAATTAAATTCTTTTAGTTAATAACAACAATAACTTTAAAACCAATAAACGTATTTACTTGAAATTTAGTACTCGTAGGTTGTTTTTAAATGAAAAATAGATTCCTTTAGTGAGAAAAAATTGTCCATGGTACAATACAATGGTGTGTATTTAGAAAAATTTTTCACCTTTACTTTTTTTTATGAAGTCAGCTATTCTAAAACACAATTATTTTTATTGTAATTAAATTAACAAAAAAAAAACTTTTGTTGAATTTTAAAATAAGTTATATGATGTACTAATGGTTAGTAACAAAAACTAATTTGTGGATTAATACTGCATTTAAAACTCTTAGCGAGTGTTTTTTTTCCAAACCAGTTATTTGATTAACCAAAAACACCTTGTATATTTTTGTATTTTAAAGGTTGGGTTAAAATAAAGGTTTTTATTTTTATTTATAGATACCATGTGAGAAGAAATTTCAGATAGACCAACATGTGAGAACTGCTTCACACATTGCAAAAAAAGGAAAAATAGGAGGAAAACATCAAACTTCAATGGCTAAATGTTTCCAATCTACTTCAAAAAATTTAGATGAGCAAGAAACTTTTAATGAAGACTTGTGTCGCGCATTAGTGTCTGCAAACATACCGCTTTCAAAATTAGCAAATGTAAATTTTAGTTCGTTTCTAAAAAAATATTGCAAACTTAATGTTCCAAGTGATCGGTCTCTAAGAAGAAATAATGTGAACGGGCTATACTCGTCGGTGTTAATTAATATTAAGGAAGAAATTGCAGATAATTATTTTTACATATCTGTAGACAAAACCACTGATTCCTCAGGAAAGTATATTGCTCATTTATTGATTGGTGTTCTTAAAGAAGATACCTTACCAAAATCTCATCTTATTTCATGCCAGCAACTTAAGAAAACAAATGCTTTAATAATTTCGCGTTTTATACAAGA